AAGTAGATCCTGTTAGCAGAGACGAAGGGAACAATTGGGAAGACCTGTGTGTTTTTTAAATTTTAAACTGAGTGCAGTGTAACAGCTACGTGAGTGCATACACCTGATGATGGCCGTTTGCGGCCGAAACATGTAGTGTAGAAGAAGGCAAAACGAAAGACCTACAATAAATTGTTGCACTTAGGACGGAGTTTATATCATATATCGTATAGAGTGCAACAGGATGCCTAAATATAATAAAATAAACGATTCTTATTTTAGATATGACAAAACACTAATTCCAGCAAAATGAATCCATTTCTTTGCGATGTTTATGACACAGGTAATAAAAATATTCTTCACAAATGTTCTTTGATATCAAAGTCTCCTATGAATGCGAAAACTATCAGCTTCCTTTTTCGTAAGCCAAGGAAACATAAGAGAAAATTGTGAAACCGTCAGGAAGCATTGATGATAAGTATTCATATTTACAATTATTTCCACGAATAAACTGTCTTTTATGTTGCGCTCTTGGAAATTCTCTGTGCTTTATAAGAGCGACTTTCCACGGGTATCCTCAGCGCTGTATTGTCTGAACATGTACAATGCGGATTACCTCATGGCTGCATAACATCACAGACTGAAAATAGATGTTGAAATCATGGGAACCGTGCTAAAGGTTGTTTGCATTCGCATGGAAACAAGGAATCCGGGAATGGTGCAAATTACGAACAACGAAATCATTTGTAATTTAACTGGGACTCATTTGCAATGGAGTATTTCATCCTGAGACTGGAATCACAGTAAAAGAAACTGTAGATCTCTCCCTTCGTCCTTGACATGGATTATTCCAACGGCCCTTTTAGAGCATTAATGAATTACTGCTTCAGGATCTATCTTGGTAGACATATTTTCAGTTATCTATTTGATTACAGAAAAGCTTTAAAACGGTGAACTATCGGTGGATGTTATGTCTATGTATCTTAACATTTCCTTTCATACATTGGAGCTGTACTGTCTTCTTTTCAGTTTACAATTATTTCATATGTCTCAACTTTGCATTTTTTTTTCATTCACAGCCTCATAATCCTCATTTGAGGATTTTCTGTCATATTTTCATTTTGCTTTTTCAATATTCATTTCTCGCTTCCATATTATAAACCCAATTTTGAGAGAATGTTATACATTATTATCATTTGTCTTAAAATTTCTCCCCCAGATATTTTACAATAAGTCCATTTAACTCATTCACTTTGTGAATGCTTCCATTCGAATTCATTTTCATTTTGTGCACATGTAACAACATTTTGTAAATATTGGCCTACAGTCTAAGTATTTCATCTGTCCTGCCATATCCTTGTTTATGAACGTTCTGACTGCTGTCGTTTCCATCCATTCATTGCCGAGGCTTCGATATGTTCTTATCCTGCGAGTATAATGCCCCACTTAATGTTCTCATATATTGTGGAAAATAATTTCCTTTCTCAGCTATCTGGCCTTCAAAGGAGGTACGGATTAATATGTAGCTATTATATCTTGGAGATATTTCTTTATGCTTCACCTGCTTCTCTTCTGTATCTCTTCCTTTTCGTACATGAATCAAATAATGCAAGGGAGAATTCATCACTGTGTGAATGGCCAATGCTGTGTTGTGCAACAAAACCTCGGACACAAACAACAGAAATACGTTCAAAAATGAAAAAGTTAAATAGTTCCGTTCAGTATGACTAGTTAAGATTTTTTTTATTTCAATTATTCATGCCCTTACATGTTTCGGTCTTCAGAGACCATCTTCAGAGGGACACCTTTACAATACAGTTAAAAATGCGTTAAAATAATTAGTTGAAAGTCCTCACTTGGGAGGCACAGACTTAAATGTGAGGATAATATTAAATATATATAAGATTTTGGGTTCTCACGGCGGTGACTATGAAGAAACCCATCTTCTTTGTTGTGGAGCCGTGTATAAATTGTGTTAATCGACGTTTCGGAGAAACATATTGCCTCCATCTTCAGGGTAGAAAACAATAAGAAATCCGGGAGCGAACAGACTCAGTCTGTTGTACCTGCTCTAGCTGGTTCGCTCGGGGATTTCTTCTTGTCTTCTACCCTGAAGATGGATGCGATACGTTCTTCCGAAATGTCGGTTAACATAATTTCTACACGGCGCCACATCCCAGAAGACGGTTTTCTTCAATATTAATTATAGTTTAAAGAAATAGGCTGTAATTCTACGAAGTGGAATGCGCTGATGAGGACAGGGAATTGATGTAGTTATACTCAGAATTGTTATGGACCTTCGGTTTTCAGAAATAGAAAATTTCTAAACAAGCCGAAAATGTATGAAGTTTTGAAGGACACAGTATCATGAAATTAGTTCTTCTTATTCAAGAGAGAAAAACACTTTCTAATTATTTCAACTCCGTTTAGAAAAACGCGTTAGAATTGTTGGGAATATTAAATGTTAACATAATACATAACATTACAAATAGCATTATATTTTTACTTTCAGTATGACGTTCGCAGCCAATGAATCCAATTATTACGCTGAAACTGACTTTAACTCGCTTTCTACTGTGAACAGCAACTGTGAACAATGATCCTTGTGTAAACAAGATGGAAGCTGGTTTGCCAATTCAGTAACATTCTACCCACAACTTTCTCTCACTAAACATACCAATACCAGTCAGTTAGGAAACCCAAGTCTCAAGAGAGACAAAGGCGAACAAAGCTTACCTGAGAGAACAGCGGTGTGAAATATCCTAATATGGCGACCAATATGGCCGCCGGGTGTCGTATGAGCATGGCAGCGCCTCAATTGATCTGTGAAAAAAAGGAAAAGTAATTAATTAGCGTATGAATTTGCAGACGGAATAGCATGTCCTAAAGTTGCGGATGGAGTAGATGTCCCCAGGTACGGTAAGTAGCTGCGAATATATTAAATAAGCAGTCACGGGCAACTGACAAAGGGTGGTTCCCCAGCGTGAGAGTTGGGCTTGGGGATTAAAACTCCTCACTTAAGAAATAAGCTTGTTACGAAAGATCACAAGAAGCATCAGACCTGGACGGATTCCTTGTATAAACGACGTGAGCAACAGAAAATGGATATGAGATTTGGTACTTGGAATGTTAGAAGTGCCTACAAGACAGGCTCACTTAGGACAGTGGTGGTAGAAATATCAGAATATAAGTTAGATTAATGGGAGTACAGGAATTCAGAAGGGACGGAGGTGGCACAGAATCAGTAGGCAAATATACATTTTTCTATGGAAAGGGGAATGATAATCATGAATTAGGTACAGGTTTTTTCGTACATAAGAGAATTGTATCAGCAGTTAAATAGGGTAGAGTTCATTAGTGATAGGGTGTCATACATAATACTAAGAGGTCTCTGGTGTGATATCATCGTTCTGCATGTTCATGCGCCAGTAAAGGACAAAAGTGATGATATAAAGGCCAGGTTCTAAAAAGAACAAGAATATATATTCGATAAATTCCCGAAGTACCACATGAAAATTTTGTTAGGAGATTTCAATGTAAAAGTAGGAAGAGAAGACACTTTCAAACCAACGATTGGGAATGAGAGGTTGCATGAAATTAGTATTGATAATGGAGTTTGAGTAGTAAACTTTGCCACATCGAAAATCTTACTGTCAAAAGTATGAAGTTCCCACATCGTAACATTAAAAAATTTACTTGGACATCTCCTGATGGAAAGACGCGCAACCAAATTGAGTATATTTTGACAGACAGGAGACGGCATTGAAATGTACTTGATGTCGGATCGCTCAGGGCAGCAGATCGTGATACTGACCACTACCTGGTGGTGGCAAATGTTAGGGAAAGACTGGCAGTGAGTAAACAAATAATGCACAGGGTTCATATGGAGAGGTTAAATCTCAAGAAATTAAACATGGTGGAGGATAGAGAGCAGTATCGGGTTGAAATCTCAAATAGTTCGCAGCTTCGGAAAATATAGAGACTCAGGTTGACATTTATTAGACAGAATATCAAAATTTCTGCCAAAGACTCTCTAGGTTATTGTGAACTGAATAAGCATAAGCCGTGGTTCAATGAAGGAGGCTCAGAACTGTAAGACCAAAGGGAACAAGCTACATTGCAGTGGTTACAGGTTCCAAGGGAAATAAATGGGGATAATCTGAAGAATATAAGACTTAAAACCAGCTGTCATTTCAGGAATAAAAGAGGAAAAATCTGAAAGACAAAATTGATTAACTTAGCAACGAACATTAAGAACAATAACACTAGAGACCTGTATAGAGGAATAAATGACTTTAAGATGGGTCACCAACCTAGAAGTAACTTAGTGAAGGATCTGCTTTGCAGATTCCATCAACACTTTTAATATGTGGAAGAACTACTTCTCCAAGTTATTGAATGTACATGGGGTCAGCGATGTTTGGCAGATAGAAACAAATACAGCTGAGCCGTTAGTACCTGATCCTAACCCTTTTGAGGTTGAAAGTGCTATTACAAAATTGAAAAGGTATAAATCGCCACGTAGTGTTCAAATTCTCGCAGAACTTATTCAAGCAGGAGGTGAAATATTACGTTCTACATCCATAAGCTAATTAATTCTATTTGGAATAAGGAAAAATTGCCTGATCTGTGGAAAGAGTCTCTTATTGTACCCGTTCACAAGAATGGTGCTATAACTGACTGCAGTAATTATCGGGGGATATCACTGCTATCAACTTCATACAAAAGTTTATCCAATATTCTTCTTTCAAGATTAAGTCCATATACAGATGAAATTATTGGGGATCATCAGTGTGGGTTTTGACGTAACAGATCAACTACAGATCAGATCATATGCATTCGTCAGATATTGGAGAAAAAATGGGAGTACAATGAGACAGTACATCAGCTATTCATAGACTTCAAGATAGCCTATGGTTCAGTTAGGAGGGAAGTACTGTACAATATTCTGATAGAGTTTGGGGTACCCATGAAACTAGTTAGGTTGATTAAAATGTGTTTAAACGAAAAGTATTGTAAAGCCTGTATAAATAAACATTTTTATGTTGCTTTCTCTATCCAGAATGGTCTAAAACAAGGAGATGCTTTATCACCACTCCATTTCAACTTTTCCATTACGAAGGTCCAGGAAAACCAGGTAGGACTGAAATTAAACGGGACACATCAGCTGTCGTTCTATGCTGATGATGAGAATATAGTGGGTGATAATGTAGATACCATAAAGAAAAACACACAAACTTTAATTGACGCAAGTAAAGAGGTTGGTCTAGAAGTAAACACAGAAGAAACTAAATATATGTTGCTGTCTCGTCACCACAATACAAGGGAAAACCATAGCAGGAAGATAGGTAACAGTTTTGAAAATGTGGTATTATAGTTCAGATATTTGGGAACGACTATAACAAATCAAAAGCTGATTCAGGAGGAAATTAAGAGGATATTGAATTCGGGTAATGCTTGCTACCATTCACTCGAGAATCTTATGTCTTCTCGTATGCTGTCTAAAAAAATAAAAATTAGAATATACAAAACTGTAAATTTTCCTGTAGTTCTGTATGGGTGTGAAACTCGGTCTCTAACATTAATGAAGGAATAGACTAGGGGGAGGTACGCGGTAGTGTGGCCGGAAGGTCGCGGGGTCGAGTCCTAATGAGGTGGATTTTTTCAATTTACCTAATACTTCCAGCCTCACTGTGGCCCTGGGGTCGACTCAGCCTCTAACAGAAATGAGTACCAGTAACATTCCTGGGGCTAAAAGCCGGTAGTTGTTAAGTAAAGAAAAGTTAAGTTACCCTGGAACAGGCCGTGGAGGCCCATAGGGTTGTGAGATGTTGAGGTTCCCACATTTTCTAGAAAATCGGCTCACAGATGGCGGTGAGTTTGTCAACCCTACGTGCCGGCCGCCCTTTAGCCCCAAGAATATTCCTGGTACTCATTTCTGTTAGAGTCTGAGTCGGCCCCAGGGCCATAGTGCGGCTGGAAGGATTAGATCAATTGAAAAAAATCAATGACCTCATCGAGACTTGAACCCGGGACCTTCCGGCTTGTAGCATAGTGCCTCAAACAAAATACGCTACAGTTTGTAGGAACCTCACAGGACTAGGCTCAGGTACTAACAGCTCAGCCGTATGTACTACCCTCTGCCTAACATCACCAATCCCACGTACATTCAACAGCGAAGAAAAGTAACTATTCCATTTATTCAAAATTCTGTGAAAACTTATGTGCAGACCACTGTCCTTGTAATTCTGGGTTGGTAACCTTCTTAAATTCATTTACGCCTCTACGCAGTTCTCCAGTATCCTTGTTTTTGCTGCTTGTTGCAACGTAATTATTTTTGTCTTTCAGATATCCCCCCCCCAAATATGCCTACTGGCGGTATGTCGGGATTACCTTCATTCATTTAGCTTGGATCCTGTAGCCTCTACAATTTGGCTTATTTCTTTTATCTGATATCCTTCAACATCATTCGTGAACACATCCTTTTATGCAGCTTCAATTCGTAATAGACTAGACTGATCTTGCTGAACGTTGATTTACTCCCTAACATTTTCGCGTGCCTGTTAAAGTCCACATCATCAAACGAATTTTTCAAAGCTACACTTTCTATATTTAAATTGATGCTGTCCTTGACCCTTACGCACAATATCTCTGAGCCAATTTTAATATTAGCTGCCCATCTCTCCCTAGATCTCCTAAATGGTACCCTCCCTTCGGTTTTGCGACCAAAGTTTTACCCGCCTTTCTCCCTATATGCTTGTCACGTGACCTGCTGCCTTATCCTCAATTTAATTTCACCGAAGAGTACAGACTATGTATCTCCTCATTGCGCGAGCTTCTCTGAAATTCCTGTCACTTTCTCGCTCTTAGGTCAAAGTATTTTCCTGGGAAGACTATTTTCATATACGTGTATCCTCAACACGCCACTGAAGGGAAATCCTAACTTCTTTTTAAGGCGACGAACAAATTTGATGGAATGTCGCTTATGCATGCACAACGTATAAATTCCCAGGTTAAAGAAATGGTATTTGTTTAGTGGGGGGTTGGAGTCCAACTGGGTCCACTCGCCACGGCGGCCACTGATTGGCCTATTGTACCTGCCCCGGGTGATTATGATGATGGAGAATTTGGTGGAATGAAGATTAGCAGAGGAACCGAAGTACTCGGAGAATACCCGCCCCAGCGCCACTTTGTCCATCACAAATCCCACTTGACCAAACCCGGGCCGCCACGGTGGGAAGCCAGCGATTAACCGCTTGAGATATGGCGTGGCCAAGAAATGATATAATCTCAGGCGTCAAAAAAGAAAAAAAAAATGTTGTGGATCAACCCTTCTTTAAGGTGTAATCATCCAATAAGAAATGTAAAGTTATCCCTGTAACAGGCCGTGAAGGCACATAAGGTAATGAGACGTCGAGGCTCCTACATTTTCCCTAGAAAATCGATTCACAGATGGCGGCAAGTTTGTCAGCCTTACACGCCGGCCGCCCTATACTCCCAGGAAGATTCGTGGTACTCATTTCTGCTAAAAGCTGAGTCGATCTCAGGTCCATAGCGCGGCCGGAAGGGTTAGGGCAATTGAAAAATCCGCCTCATCGGGACTCAAACCCAAGACCTTACGACTTGTAGCATAGTGCCTCAAGCAACTACGCTACCGCGTGCCCATAATCTTCCAATAGACAAAGAAAATTTTATGAATACTGTGTGTGTTAGTATGTACACGTACATTGATGCTGAATGTGTAAAGGCAAACCTCAATTTTATGAAAGGTTAATTAATTCCGTCCAGTGTGATTGATGGAGTTTTGTCTCCTTTTTAATATT